TAAACTATTTGAAACCATTCGAGGATTATATCACAATTTAGAGAGGATTAGGGAACCAGAATACCACGAAGGGTTCTCGCCGACCACCATGCCATTTCTAATTGCTCAGTAGAGAATATCACGCTACCCAATGCAGCAAAATTCTGGGTCATTCAAATAATTCACAAACCTACGAACACAGACACACAGTCTGTAACACATTTTCCAAGAACAAGCCATTTGTGTGCTTAGGTAGAATAAGCAGAACTTTTCACAGTAGTCTAAGGCAGCCTCAGAAGAAGGTACCCAGCACACCAGTTTGTTATGGATGGCATTTGGCGTTTCTGAACTATCCAAGCCTGATAATCTCGACCGAAGTGAGACCTCGCAGAATGATGGCCTAGAATACATAGCCGAACATCGGAGAACGCAAAGTAGTTGCGTAATTACTCTCACCAGAAAATCTTGGAGTCACTTGTAGTTTTCAAATGACTGTACTAACGACTAGGCGGAGAGCTCATATTGAGACAGCTTATACTGGGTGATCTCGATCACAGAGGCCATCAGTTACGGAACATCAACCGAAACGCAACAAACAAAGGTGGCCGCTTGAAGTCTAGTGGGTAATGCAGCCCACCTTGATCGACGATGGAGATAGCTCGCTTTAGTACCTACCAACACTGAAATGCACAAACGAATTCAGCTGTTTCCTCCCTAATTTGGATGTCTTGAATCTCAGCACTTTACTACATACACACAGATACTGTGGAATATCATAATTGTCTAGTCTTGCTGGATTTATTTAACACATGGATACAAGGAATGTGATAAATGAACGAGCGTTGTCTCTCAATAATCGCGAACTGTAGCTGCTACCCACTCTGTTTTATGCACTAGCATTGTATTGGCCTTTCTATCTTCATACAGTAACGCATTTGAAAGGGTAGGCCCTTAACCCAATGACACGTACATGACCTGGATTGCATTTGTGAATGGTCAACCAGGAACTTACTCTAGTTCAACACAACTAAATGCAAGATGATCCACCTACGTCACCAACCGGTGTGCATGTACAGGCCTGGAGACCGCACGTTGATAAAGGCGTCTCAGGAGCTTGACTTACGTGTACGGGTACAGGACTATCTCCAATGCTCAAAACAAGCAGAGAAGACGTCGAAAACTGGTAATCAACTCTTTGGCCTTCTTCGCAGAGCGTGCAGCTGATTTGACTCTTCAAGCTTCCCACTAATGCTCAACGCCTACGTGCAACCGTGACAGGAACAGTATCTCGTTGCTGTCGAGATTCCTTAACGAAAGGCAACCCAGAACGTGAGGGGCCTCTTCTATTTGCTCTATCAGCTTAGAATGAAGTCCATAGGGAGGTATAACAATCGATATCGGCTTTTGCTGGGGGAGCTCAAAATGCTTCACCAGATACGGAAAAACCCAAAAACATTCGTAGCACTATGCTGGAACTGAAACACAGCACTAACCTAAGAGGTCATTCTCTGAGACTGACGATATAGTATAGTCGGCCGGAATGCCTTGGAAATTTCTTCTCCATCCCAGTGTGCAGCCGTGGTACGTTCTTCCAACTTATGTCCACTCTGCTCTTATGATATTAACAAACTACTAGACGAAGCATTGTCTCGTTTGGATTATATTTATGTTAGCCAGGCGCTACGTAACGGAACTTATCGACGCTCGCCGGCATATTCCTGCTGGAAGCGAACACAATGAAACTCGCAAAGAGCTCCGGGCAAAACTCCGTGCTAGCCTGAAGAGAGACCGCGAATCTTGGTGGTCTCGTTGTGCGTCAGAGATGGAAGTGGCTGTTGTCCTTGGCAACCATCGTAAGTTATTCCGTCTGATACGGGAAACGGGCAGCAGGAGACCTGGTGTTAGTGAAACTATACGTGACGAGAGTGGACGGCCTATCCACAATTTGTCAAAACGTTTGGAGCGTTGGGCTGAGCAGTTTGAAAAGCAATTTAATCGGCTAGAATTGTTCGATACTTCGCCGGCCAGTGATCACCCTGCTCCGTGGGCTGGCCCTTTGGATCCAACCTCTCGTTCAGAAGTCGAACGTGAGATCGGATTGTTGAAGTTAAATAAACCCGCGGGACCTGATGATCTTCCTCCAGTCCTCTTCAAATTCGGGGGACCTGCTCTTGTGGATAATTTACACGAATTACTAGTTAAACTGTGGAATCAGGCCAACTGTCCCAACCGACTGGAGCAGCTCCATCATAGTCCCACAAATCAAGGGAGGCTCACGATCGAAATGCGGCAGCCATAGAGGAATCAGTCTGATCTCCATCGCCTCTCAATTTCTTGCCTCTGTCATCCTTCACAGACTGACTGGCACGCGTGAAAGCCAGATTCGTGAAGAGCAAGCTGGATTTCGTCGAGGTCGTGACTGCATTGACCACATCTTCACTTTGCGTTAGTTGTTGAAGCCCCGTCACATATATTGGAGGCCCACCGTTGTCGTGTTCCTCGATATCAAAGGTGCATTCGGTTCGGTGGATAGACTTGCACTTTTGGACTGTCTACTCAGGAAAGGTGTACCTGAGAAATATGTAAATATTATCCAAGCATTATATGCGCGTAGCTCGGGCAGAGTGAGGGCTTACGGCAAGCTGTCGTCGCCCTTTAATATCTCCAGCGGCGTGAGACAAGGATGCCCGCTGTCACCTTTCCTCTTCAACTTCGCAGTTGACGAAGTCATGGAGATTGCATTTACAGGACATGACTTGGAAGGTGTGGAGGTACGCCCAGGAGAACGACTTCTTGACTTGGAGTATTCAAAAGACATTGCACTCATCTGTGACAGGTCGCAGACCTGCCAAGTCGCGCTGGACAGATTAGCACTGGCTGTCATCCGTTTCGAGCTTTGCTTTGCACCATCGAAATGCAAGGATTCCTCCAAGATTGGCAGAGATCACATCCAGCGCTGACCCTTGGTGGCGATCAGCTAGAAGTCATTCGGAAATTCAGCTAGCTGGGAATTGGGATCAGCGCCCTTGGGATTGAAGACGAGATCACGAACCGTATAGCAAAAGCCCGACGTGCTTTTGCTAACCTTCGCTACCTATGGCGGCGGCGCGACAATACTCTCGCCCTGAAGGGTAGAGTGTACAATGCAGCGGTACGTTCGACCCTACTGTACGGTTGCGAAAGATGGCTCCTAAGATCAGCAGACATGAAGAGGCTAGTTGTATTCGACCATCGGTGCGTTCACAGTTTGGCTCACATCTGCTGGGAACACCGCGTGAGTAAGGAGCGTGTTCGACGCCTTGTTTAAGACACAGAAAAAGGATCTGAACCGCTCAGCACCGTCATTTCATGCACCAGGCTCCGATGGCTGGGCCACGTTTTGCGCACGCCAGTCCCCCGACTTCCATGACGTGCGTTGTTTGCTCACCGGGGATTTGGATGGAAGAAGAGGAAGGGAGGCCAAGCGATGAGGAGGAATAAGTGCCCTCAATTCGGAGCTTGCCTCGGTTAGAGCGTCACGGCTCCCTGGTTGGCCTCCAAAAGACGGTGAACACGTTTGGCTACATACACTTGCTGACATGGCAAGGAGCCGACCACAGTGGCGTTCCTGCTGTGATTTTCTTTGTCCCTCCCCATCCCTTTTAGCCTCCCACTCCACCTACGATCTGACTTCATAGTGTAAAACGTAATAATTTTTCTTTTTGCCCAGTAGCCGGCTGGTGGCTTACCGGAACGATGCCTATCCGTTTCTGGTAGCTCAGCTGGCACGCAACTGTTGTATTTATTTTCCTTTTTCTTTATGTATTGCGGCACAATAGCTGAGGTGTTCCCCACCTCTAGCTGACGTGTATAATGATGATGGTGATGATAACGGAACCAAACGGTGTTTTCAAAATTCCAGTCAATTAATTTATAAATTTATGCTTTCACCAGGCGAAGAGCTCAGCACTTCTCCACATGTCTATGATGAGTCAAGCAAAACGCTTTTCGCTTTATTATGATTTTTTTATTTTTCCACGATTTCCATTCCACGGAAGTTGTTAGGCATTGCTTATTTACCCGTAATACACCATAGTTCCCTTGTTGTATATTTCTTCTGTGATCTCCATCCCACCATCCTACGGAGCTTGCTAGATGCTTGCATTATTGACGCGTAATAGATTCTTGTTCAGCGGGTTTCACCATGTACTGTGACTGTAAATCGACAAAAATCTCACACATAAAGGGAAGATATCTGCAGTATGTCGCACCAACGCTTCGCTGTCACGTAAGCAACACACATTGCGCGTAGACTAAGGATATTGCGAAAGTCGCTCGGTCTACTAAGCAGGTTCGAAACGGTAATATCCGGGTTGTAATGGAGACGCGCTATTTATTCAGCCACCGACCGGTAACGGACACTCATAAACTACTCATGCAAGCATAGAAACATAACGGTTCAAATGGGGTCATTTCGGTGCATTACATTGTTCCGTACATGGTTCAGCAATATTCCTTAATATTATTCTCCATTCTTACTAAAGTAAACGGTCGCAGTCTAACAAGGTTACTTTTAGTGGTGTACACTTCCATGTTTTCCAGTGACTAGGTTTCAGATGACCACAGAGAGTGCAGATGAACAGAAGGCTCCACCCAACGTCCCACTGCCACACAGTGTTCATATCCAGTGCCTACCTAATGGGACCAGACTTTACACATGCAGGCAGGAACTCTATGTGATTCCAAGTTGGTTTCCATTCCTTTATCAGTTCAATACAAATAGCACGTATTAATAGAAAAAGAACGTACCTAATGAATAAGCGTCTGACTACAGTCGGACCACGTACCTGCTCACCATGCTACCATTCTTCAAGCCTCTCCACGTTACTTGGATTGCAGACGCAATCACACTCCCAACGGCGTATAACAACGTCGAAGAGCGATCTCACCCCAACCTTGTGCAAGTTAGGAATAGACTGGGCTCATTCTGTTACTTGGACCGTGTCTGACGACTGTCACTCCAGGATATTTTCACTCTACATTCATCTATGGGTTAAAACCACAAATAAGGCGTTTGGGTACCAAATTCTCTTAAGGAGTAGGTGAACCCTATCACAAGTGAACAAGGTGTGTAGACGTGACTTACCGCACGAGGCATCACTTTGCATTCGGATGGACTCAGTCAAATGTTGGTATGATCTATAGGCTGAAGACATCTCGGGTAGTTGCGAAGTCAAATCACTGGGTCCTCGTGCATAGTATGTTGGATCAGAGTAAATGTGGTCACGCATACTGCTGAATTTTCCCAAATTCGCTGAAGCGGTACCAGATGTGTGATTATCCCACCAGGGGTCCACGTGAGAGGGTTGGACGTTGGTACCAGATAGCTCACTTGCACTCACACTGGTAGCAAAGTTAATCAAAGCAGCATTGAGATTAGGAGCTGGTGAGTCGTGATAAACCGACTTTTTCGCAGAGTATTCATCCACGTCAGGGTTCGCAGTGCTCGTGTCTGCGATGAAGTTGAATGCTCCATACAGTGGATGAATTATTTTATTAGTGGTAAATATGGAATGGAGGGCAGAACTGGTTGAGTCAGTCGGTCTGGAATCAAATCCATTGGTAGCGTTTACAGGCTGTGAATATGCGTCAACGAGCTGAGCATCTCCGTGTGCTGATGCGTAGTCGGCGTTAGCGACTAGCGCTTGCTGTAGCTGTGATACGCTTATATCAGGTGATACGACCGTGATGTCACCATTAATTGGCTGAAAGTCAAGAAGCATTTCTGGTTGGGAATGGTAGCCGATGCGTACTCCATTCGATGGTGACACCGGTGTCTGCGTCAGGGCGGCAACTTGATTCAAATACGCATGTCCCCAAACACCTGTGTTCAACAACGGCACAAAACATGACTCCCGGTCGGGGTTAAAAATGGCCGCGCATGTAGACAAAGAATAGTCGCTTAACTCATTCGCGGTTTCGCTTTTGATTGCTTTATCACTGATCGTTCTTGAAGCGAAGACCGAGTCGATTCCGGAAGGTTCTGACGCTCTCGGGTCATTGTGGAGGCCATCATTCCGTGAACAAGCGTTGGAGAGGCATGAGGCGGGTGCAGCGCAAATAATTGATGACGATGGTACTGCTTGAATACATTGGACCCCAGCCCAAGTTGCATGCGATGTGGTCGAACTCGTAGCATCTCTGTTAACTCCTCCAGAGTAAATGTAAGCAGGTAATTCATGTTTGTTCTGGTCTAGAAACACTGAGTTACTGTAATGTGCCATGGCCAGCTTGTAGTTGGACCAACTTATAACTGGATTTAAATGCAATTAGCAATTAGTAAATTGAGATGTCCGCTGTGCTACCGAAAGAGCTGTGTGTCAGCTCAGTACATTGATCTATTCAGCAGGGTGTGTTTCTACCTACCCATCGGTAAATATCTACCCACCCACCAACCCTCATCCACGCGCATCCCCGTCGATCGGGAGAACGATTAAATTGCAAATCTAATTTCCCCTTTTCCCACGTGTCAGTTGGTGTTCCAATTTTCCAAACCGTTTAGGATTGCGAACACGAAGAGTGGGAAAAGTGTACCGCGTTTCGCTGCCACACTGGATTGGTTCGGTGTGTATTGGCGATGTATATGGTACACCAATGGGAGTGGAAAGCTACCAATGCGGAACGGAGTAGTCGGGAACGATATTGAAAAATTATCCTGTGATAGGGGCGGAAAACGGAGTCAACGTTGTCCGTTCATCAGTTAGGCGGAAAAGAGCCGATGTATGACGGAAAAAATGCTCTTAGTTGTTCAAATTAATAGAGATGCAATGAAAAAACGGTATACTACAGCAGAAAGAGCCAAGGCTTGACAAGTCTTGTGGGATGGTTTGTGTGAATTGCTTAAGTTCGAAAAAAGGTTACACTTAATTGAAACACGCATTTGTGGACTCAACATATTGTCCAAGTTTACACCAAACTAGATCTGTCTACCCCGATTTCGTGAGGTTGTAGAACACCATGTTTGTCTGCGTCATGTCGTCACTCGATGAACGGAAATCAAATCAAGTAATGTACCTGATATACTGCATCTTTAGAATACTTTTTAAAACGGGTTGCTTGGACGTAGAAACGCCAAAATTCGGTAATGTTTCAAGGTTGACAAATTCGAAGGAAAATATAATTCCGACGACATTCCAGCTGACTGTATTGGGTGGGCAGTTTCATCTGATGATCCCTTAAGTTGGTGTTACGGCTAATTTTCAGGACGTGGTGGCAGGCGTGACTGGGGTATTTCAAGAGCTGGTGTACCAGAATGAGGTGACCCCTTAGACAGCAATAAACTCCGCTGTATACTTCTACGGCTTTCTGTTGTAATTGCTACGATAGTTGGAATAAACCCTTCACATTTTTGGTTGCCCTTTGCTGTGCGGTCCCAGTGCAACCAGATCACGTTTTAACCATGGTTTCCAGACCTGGATCGTGTATACTACGTGTGAAAAATCGCGGCTATTGAGTGCAGAGATATTACATTCCACACTGACTGTTAAAATTGGTCCAAGCGCGAAAGCTAAGTGGAATGAATTCCCGTACAAGGTACCACGGGGGTGAGAAACATGAAGGATAACTTCAGGATTATAAATATATTAAGCAGTGGTATTTTCTATAGTACAGTGTGGTGAAGAGTTGGAGGAACGCTAAAGAAGCCACACCATTGCTACAGTCATTCAGAAGGTAACAGTTCTTCGGGTGAAGTCCAGAACTGACTGTTTTGTATTTTGTCGGCTCAACAGTAATGCGTATCCTTGTTCAATTCATATGCTCGCTGAGCCCAAAAGCAAGAAGAATTGGCAGCCCCAATAATTTTCGAGGCCGTCTGAATGAATGTGATTGTGCAGACTTGTCGAAACTTCCTATTTCTCATCCTTTACCCCTGGCATTGAACTCATGAACTAGTGTAGGGAGGCGGAAGGCAGTGGTTGCGCGGATGAGAGAAAGACCACGAAAACGGGGGCAGACGGCAACGGGAACAGGCACAATAAGGGAGGGTAGAAGGAACCACAGTGACCACAGTGAGCCTGAGCCAGGCAGAACGGAGAGGATATTCGTCCAGAACGCAATGAATCAGACAACGCGCCATTATTACAGTTTCCCGGACCAACCCCAAGCAGTGTGATACATCCACGGTCAAACAATTCATGAGCTATCCTACGACTCCGGGCCGCTCAGAATGTTATGCATAGAAGCGGAGATACGCGGGTGAAATGAGCAGGAAACACTCCAACTCCAGGTCCCCAAAGTGCATGGACATGTGACTAGCGGAAGCTAGGAGAGATGGTTCGTCTTGGGAAGGAAACGTGACTTATTAATGTACGCCTGCGTGAGTCAATAAAGACTTGCTTCAATGCCGCGTCGCTCTTGGTAAAATAGGACGGATTAGCTTTCACGAGATATATACGCTGCCGTTCAAGTGTGAGCACGAATATACGAACGGAGCCTTAGGAATAATTACAGTTGCAACACGACTGTGGGAAAAGTTAGTTGAAACACAACTCGCAAATGGACACAGCTGTAATGTGGAACACAGCTAATACTCATGTTCCATTTGATTACATACAATGGTATTCTCATGTGAATTATTTTCATCACCTGACAAGCAGTGATTCGTGATAACAAATCACAACAAACATCTATGGATATAATTAACGGAGGTTCATCGCAGCCAGTTTCCAAATCAGATAGTCGTCCCTTAAATACTTCAAAATCCCCTACTCATTAGTACATCTATGGAGGTAATGTACAGATCCCATATACATTCTACGCAGCGTACGATAATTCAAAGGTGGTTTGGATTATAACATGATTTGACGCGAACCTCCAGCTACATGAGCTGTTAGTCTGGTTCCCGATTTGGACCCTATTCATGTGACTTAGGTATCTCACCTTGCAGTAGATAATAAAGTGGAACTGAAGGTAGGGATGTACTGAGCGTACAAAGCGAACAACACCAGGCCGTTTATTAATGCTAATTTAAGTCCATCTAAACAACATATATTGGTAGGTGGAGGACTCGGTTCGTTTCCGCGCTTCTGCCACCAAGCACAGATTAAGAGCATGGACATAGATCATGCAAAGTTGTGTCATGGTACGAGATATAGGACTGGAGGTACATAATCGCTTTGCCTTCACTTTCTGGCTTTCATGTGAATGCAGGAGTGACAGACTAGACGTTGGTAAATAAAACAGCTCGATATTGGAATCGAATAAATCGATAAGGGTGAGAAGAAGTCAGATGAAGATGAAACAACAACACTCTATTATCCACTTGCGGGTGTCTCCACGGGCGCGCTTTGCTTCTGAGAGCCCGGCGTAAGTGTACCCACGAGGATACACAGTGGCGGAAGACAAAGTCAGGGATGGGACCCTATTGTGCTAGTTATCCGTTGAGCATGGTTCCGTTTGAACACGGAAAGTACGCGAGCCGATCTACAGGATACAACCTTGGGACTGGGTGTAAATTTAACGTTACTTATCCGCATTGAATGCATCCTTAATCACAGCACTGAAGTAAACGTGGTTGCTTGCACGTTTGTCTTTTCTGCATTCAAGACTTTCCTGATTACTAAGGCTCAGTTAACCACTGATTGTATAGTTGGACAGCGGCGCGCATAAATCTTATGCACTACACCCGAACTGTTCTCGGATTTTTAGCAATGATCTGCTTTATCTCAGCGCGTACCAATGGTTTATCGTACTTATTTCCATCGGTTAGCCAGCGCACACCATGAAAACCACAAGACGTAGCTCACCACCATGTTACCGCAACACCTTACTGGTCAGCATTGAGCTACGCAATAACTTGGCTTTGAACTTGAGCTCTGCAAGGCGTCTGGGACCGCACCGTACCACAGTAGTTCTGAGAACTATAGTGTAATCGTCACCTACACTGTTTGTTTGAATGTGGAAAACCGTGATGTGCTTTAAAAAGTTAGTTCAGGGCTCCTTTACTCCTTACTGACAATATTTTCAAACAACTTCGGTTTCGGGAACCCTGTACCAAGGGTCCGATGGAATGCGCACTGCTGATGATTCCCGAAAGGGTGAAACGCGCGTACAGTGCTTTTCCGGGCTTGTGGCGGCTGTCTGCGTGAGTCTAGATGTGACGAATTTCTACCTATACCATTCAACTCCCCTACTACTCTTCTGTAATTAATTAGAATCACTTGCAAAATCTATCCTTTTTTACTGTTTACGCTCAATGTACCATGAATGGTAGTTGGCCTTGAAAAAAGCCATTAAACAGATGCATTCGATACCCTGCTTATATGGGAGCTTCTGTAAGCAACCTGTTAGTTGCTTCTCTGAGCACAAGCCATAATTCTGGGGTGAACTTCTGTAGCCACATTGTGACATTTAAAAAGCTTTGAATTTCCCTGTGCGTTGAATGAAAATTGATTTCTAGGCAAACGTTGGAGCAAACATAGTTAAGTTATCCCCCACACACAGTTTCCAAAAATTTTCATTTTTCACCAGACAAATACGCTGACTGTTCATTTGTTTATTGACCCTCGGGGGGATTTTTGTGCTTCCGCCAAATATTCATGCTGCCTCTTCGAAAACGTTGCCGAACTTATTTCCACACTAATGAAGTCCTTTCCTAATCCACGCGAGCGTTTGGACTGGAAAAAGTTGGACATTGCTCCCGGCGAATCATCATTTGTGTTTCGAATGCACTCACATCTTTTCGCTGAAGTAGGAAGTGGGCATAAGGTTCACTTCACGACAGATACTACACAGAGAAAGTGAAGGATATCCAAATATTTTCCTCTGCCCTGCTTGTATGACTGAATCACAACGGTTCATTAAAATGAAGGATTGTACAGTGGATCCTGACAATAGCGTGCAAATTTGCATTCTCTGCCAAACGCAGCGGACGCATTCCTACTGAACTGGCCGGATATATGAAGTTGACAATGTCATTTGATGCGCGTGACAACAATTAGTAGAAACCAGTAGGAAGTGGCACTTAATTCGTGGTACCTGTTTCCGATTGAAGCTGTCACTGTGGTTGCGTGGTATATTGTGAACACAAAATCAATCATTAACAGTTATCTTATAGTGACTGGACGGGTACTCAGATTTCTTAATGGAAAGAAGCTGCTTGTAAGTGGATTGATGTAGTTTAGTCTATTTGTAAAGGGTAAGAAAGTGAGTACGGAAATAATGCGATCTGAAGCAGGATTCCTCCATTGATACCTTCGGAGCGAAAACAAGACTCGGAGACACG